AGGGTCCCCTTTACGTCAATTCAGGACCCCTGCAGGTAACTCAAATGGCTCCGACGATGCACTGGGACATTGTGGAGGCATTGAGTACCGTCACTTCAGCAAGCAGGATGGCCGCGTCACATATGGGAGAGGTGGGAGCAGACCACCAATATATTCTAGGGGTGTGAGTTCAGGTCTGTAGCTCGGGAGTCATGGGTCAACAATTCAGCTAGACCCCGTTCGTGTCTCCACGTGATTCTCAGGGCTTAGCTCCACCACTCAGTGGTACTCACCACATGTATAACATTAGAATGAATCTTCTGCTAAAACATGGAACCATACACCGTCATATGGTATGGCTTTTGTGCATGTGGTGAGTAGTGGCGAGAGGCCCCTTGGGCCACTGTACGTATTCAGAAGAAAACAAAAGAAAAAAACGAGAGAGCTAAAGGCATCTTCATCCGAACCCATAACTACCGACATGCAGACCTGAATGCCAATCTTCAGCATATATTGGTGGTCGGCTGGAGGCAGTGTGCCTTCTGCGAGACAGTGTGGGGCATGGCACCACTGGGCAATTCTACCCTTCTTGCAAATTCGTCCACCACTGTGTGGGATTTGCAGAAGAAAAGGGAAGTCCAGTTACCACACCCCACCTAGAAAAGAAAAATGGAATGAGGCTCATTGAGCCCTATTTTCATAATCCGCGATTTTGAAATTTTTGGGGGAGTGGCCTGCAGAATCAAAATTCGGCAGCCCTTGCCCAAAAAACAATTTCGGGCCAAGGGCGTGGACAGTTTCCGAACGCGCGCGGCGAGTTGAACATTTTTTCCGGGGTGGGTGCCATAGGAAATTATGAAACCCCTACTTTTTTTCTGGACCTTAATTTTCCCGGTGCACGTGTGTGTGGTGCACTGTGCGATGTGCTGCGCGTGCGCAAATCCGCGCACTGAGGTGCACCACAACTATGCTTACAGACAAAGAAAATCGTACGAAGTTACGAAACCCCTACCTTTTTTTTTTTTTTTTACCTTAATTTTCCCGGTGCGCTGTGCGGTGCGGTGCGCGTGCGCAAATCCGTGGACCGAGGTGCACCGCAACTATGCTTACAAACAAAGAAAAAACCAAAAAATTTGGAAAAAAGATGATGAAATGTTTTTTTTTAACTTTTTTTTTTCCCATATCATTTCAAAGGTGTGTTGCAACACATCCCTGCACACACACACACACACACACACACAAACACACGCGCACACACACATAAACAGACACACACACACACACACACACACACACACACACACACACAC